GTATGTTCTTTTTGACGATGAATGCAACACCCTTCATTTTTAATTTGTCATTCCCGGCATAGTAAACCATGTCATCAGATCCACGAATCCTGGCAGTACATATACTCTAAAATGTGAGCGGTGCCCAGGTCTGCGTGTAGAGTCACAAAACGTGCATGGCGTCGTCTGTGTGTGCAGTCACAAAACGTGCGCGGTATCCACGTCAGCGTGTGGCGTTTCAAAACATGCGTGGCGCCCACGTCTGCACGTAGAGTCACAGGGCTGTACTTCTGTGTGCCTCAGTGTGTTTCCATGTTTTGTTTAAGAAACCAATCTTTGAAACTCTTGAAATTAGCCAAAAGAGCGTTGCTCTAAAACAAAAACTAATTTGCAGTTTTTAAAAAACAAATTCATAGGAGAATTAAACATTGCAGAGCATGGATGGAAGTACCCCCTGAATGTGGCCTTTGGTTGGTTTGTAGATGGGTATGTGGATAGTAAGTTGGTGGTTGGTGGATGGGTGTTAGTTAGCTGGTGGGTTAGTGTTGGGTCGTGGTTGGTTGGTGGATAGTGCTTGGTAGATGGGTAGCTGATTGTTGAGTGGTTGGTGGTAGTTGTTGAGTGGTTGGGTTTGTTGTTTTTGTTACGTGCCATCGAGTCGATTCCGACCCATAGCGACCCTGTATAGCTTTCCGAGGACAGCTGGTGAGCTTGAACCGCCGACCTTGCAGTTCAAACGACTTTGTAATCTGATGCATTGGCCCACAGCGCCACACCAGTGGTTGGGTGGTGGGTGTTAATTGGTGGGTGCTGGGTGGTGGATTAGAGGGTGGCTGGTAGCTGGTTGTTGAGTTGGGGGTGGGGGGTGGTAGCTAGTTGTTGAGTGGGGGGTGCTGGGTGGTAGATTGGCGGGTGGGTGGTAGTTGTGGAGTGGTGGGTGGGTGCTTGGTTGGTTCCCACTGGAAGCACCATTGTCTCGGGTCTGGACAGATGGCACCTGGGTCAGAAGACAAGACCAGGTGCTGGTGTGAGAGGAGAGACAGGAGCCTGGGGGAAGAGGGCGTGGAGCAGACCTGGATACTGGTCTCTGGTCTGGGGGAGCTGCCTCCTGCACCAGGTGAGTGAGACATACAGGGTACGAGGCTGAGTGACCAGGGGACGGCCCTGCGCCCCCTCCTCCATGTGGACACCCTCGGGTCTGAGCGGCATCCTGACCTGTGGGCTGCGCTGACCATACGCGGTTTCCTTCAGGACCTGATCCTCCACGTGCGGGACGTCAGCCACCCCGAGACCGAGCTGCAGAAAGCCAGTGTCCTGTCCGCTCTGCGCGGCCTGCGCCTGCCCACCCCGCTACTGGACTCTGTGCTGGAGGTGCACAACAAGGTGGACCTCGTCCACGGGTGAGGACCGGCCCCGCTGACCCCTCCCTCCCCAAGTCTCCTGCATGCGCGGTGTGTACCCGCCCCTCTGACCCTTCCCTCCAATCACCTGTGTGCGCACGGCCCTCCTCGCTGGCCCCGCCCCCTATCGAATCCCTGCTTTCTTAGTACCCGCTCCTCTGACCCTTACCTCCAATTACCTGTGTGCGCACTGCCCTCCTCGTTGGCCCCCACACCCTGCTGGAATCCCAGCTGTCTTAGTACCCTTTGCTGCTGTTGCAGAAATCCCACATGGGGTGGCTTTCACAGGCACATGTTTGTTTTGCTCACAGTTCAGGGATTAGAAGTTCTAGTTCACAGTACTGACTGTAGAGCATTGGTTGTTGTTATGTGCCATCAATAGGTTCCGACCCATAGGGACCCTCTAGAGGGTTTCCAAGGAGAGACTGGAGAGCTTGAACCGCCCACCTTGCAGTTCAAACTGACTTTGCAGTCTAGCGCATGAACCCACAGTGCCATACCAGGACTCCAGAGCAGAGGTGGGGAACTTTATTTCTGCCAAAATTTATAACAGTCGCAGGCCTTACAAAACTGTCATGTTAAAAATTAGCCTGTTATATATTCGGTCAGACATTCAGTTAACTCACAATTAATGTGGTGGCTTAGAGTCCTGGTGTGGCACTGTAGGATCAGCACTGGACTGGGAACCACAAGGTTGGTGGTTCAAACCCACCTTCTGCTCCTTGGAAACCCTATGGGTCGCTATGAGTCAGAACCGACTTGAAGGCACTTACAACCACAATGTGATAGCCGGAGTCCTGGTGTGGCACTGTGGGATAATACACTGGACCACAAGGTCGGTTTCAACTGCTAGGTTGGCAGTTCAAGCTCACCAGTTGCTCCTCGGAAACCCTATACAGGGTCACTGAGTTGGAACTGACTCGACTGAACTCAACAATGTGATGGCTGGAACCACGGGTGCCTTGGCAGGGCCAGACCAAATGACTTTTGTGGGCCTCATGCGTCCCGAGGGCTGGATATTCCTACCCCTGCTCCCTGCTCCGGGAGAAGGCGGTGTGCTCTGGACGGCGGTCCTAGTCTCTGGTTAGGACTGAGCATCTCCCTCCCTCCACAGCCGGTTCCCTCCCCACATCCGGTTCCCTCCCCACATCCGGTTTCCTGCTTGCTTGTCTGTTAATCTCTTGTGTCTCTAAAGAGATCCACCCAGAAATACCCTCTTAAATCCTCCCCAGTCACATGGTTCCCATGTGAAGGTATAAAGGTTGTTGTTGTTAAGTGCCGTGGAGTCAGTTCCAACTCATAACGCCCCTGTACAGGGTTTCCAAGGCTGTAAGTCTTTATGGGAGCAGAAAGCCTCATTTTTCTCCCACAGAAGAGCTGGTAGTTTCGAACTGCTGACGGTGAGATTAGCAGCCCGATTTGTAACCACTATGCTACCAGAGAGACAATTCAGTCTGCAACACTCCCCCCTTTTGTTTTCTGGGATTCATGTCTGTCCACATGTGAAATACACTCACATCATCACTTTCGTCTCCAAATCCAGTATCTCACGTCTAAAGTAAATATGGGGGAGACTTTAGGCACACTTAATCCTGAGGCCAGCTCCTCCTCATCAATGATTCTGTGAAACCTTGGATGCAGATGATCTGCTGCTGGAAGTGTAAACAGGCACAAGGTTGGCGGTCCCATTACAAATGGGAGAGATTGGAGGGAAATGGATAAAAGGCACCAAGGCAAAATCCAGCCCAGCAATTTCTGTTTGTTCTCAAGCTTTGAGAATCATCTCTGTGCCCAGAGCAAATCAGGACTCTGGATGTTGGCCATGCCCTCTGGATTCTGGGTGGAGACCCCTGGCCCCAGTGGACGGCTGCTCTGCTCCCCTGGTTGTGGGCAGCTCCTTCTCCTAACGGAGTCCTGGTGTGGCGCTGCGGGTTAATGCGCTGGACTGCAAAGTCAGTTTGAACTCGAGGTTGGAGGTTCAAGCTCACCAGTCACTCCTCAGAAACCCTATACAGGGTTGCTATGGGTTGGAACAGACTCCATGGCACTTAACTTCTGATCCATATGAGTGGTGACCCCTCTCCCTGTGCTCTGGCATACCCTGTTTTGCTTCCTGGGCTACTTGCGGCCCCTTCATTGTGGACAGCACCTCATCCTGTTGGACAAACTGAATGGCAGCCCCACAAATGGCCACGTAAGGTCCTAGGGGTGAGACCAACTTGCCACCACCTAAACACCTAACAAGACGGTCAGGTCAAGACCCTGTAGCTTCCTTCACTTCTTGCTGTCTCTTCAGAGTGGCCTTTATCCATAACTGAGGCTCTTAAAGGTGGGCTCGGCTTTTATGATTATCGCCTTTGTCCTGCCAGCCAGCACCCATGACCCATTTCCAAAGCCCTGTCCGTCCACAGGGTCAGTGTGTGTGAGGGCCGCATCCCCTGGTGCCCACACACGCCTGCAGCTTAGGGTTTACAGTAGGGACTTTGGGAGTTGGGGAGGGGCAGAGTGCAACTTGTAACACCTGAGTCCTCTTTCAGTGACTCCCCCCCACCTCACCTAGCACCTGTGAACCCTCCTCTCTCACCTGGCACCTGCTAGCCCCCCGCCTCTCACCTGGCTGGTGGCTGGGTCAGCTCACCTTCGCATCTGTGTCCGCTCTTTCGGTCACATCCATGAGATGGATTTAACCCAGGGCTGAGCACATGTCCCCTCACCTGATACCTGTCAGCGTTTCTCCTGTGCTCACCTGGTGATTCCAGTGGGGTGGAGCCTGACTGTTGTCTTTGGCGACTCTTGCTGGGTCTTTATGGGCTTCATCGTCTCCTTGATCTGGTACCTCCTTCAGCTCCTGACAGGAAAGCTCCAACCAGTGGGACCCCAGAGCGCCCTGCCTTCTGAGCGGGTGGATGGCCATCATGTGATGTGGTGGAAACATGCGAGGCTTTACGTTTTAGCTAGCATAGGGGCACAAGTTAACTCATGCTTACATCAGGTGTTGGGTTCCTC